ACAGAGAGATAAAAGAACGAAAAACTTCACCATACGACTGTGTGTGGGACCACTTCTCGTTATCTTTAAATCTTGGAATAAATTTATTTTTTCTTTTCGTTCCCACCAGCAAAGAATGAGGGAAGGGGTCTCATCCAATAACTTTACGCCACGTGTTCACCGCTCCAGATCACGTGTACCCGGTGCAGTGCAACGATACTCGAAACCAGACCACTGGATCAGGCATCAACGGCGGTTGTTTATCGTCCAAAATTTAGAGCCTCGAGAAAGCCGAGGATCCACGTGGCGCGCGTCCTTTTCTTCAAGCTGGGCTTGGGCTTTCTCCACATAAACATCTGTGCAATGCCTTCAAACCTGGAATGGATGGGACTTGGGAGCTTCACTATTTAATCCTCTCTCTCTCTCTCTCTCTCACACACACACACACACACATTTATATCTGTAAAGAATTCGCCATTAAATTACAAGGACTGATTCTTGGCCTTGAGCATTGTGAAAGTGTTTGAAAAAAATAAAATAAAAAAACAAACAAATTTGCTTGCTTTTGCTTCCATGTCTGTCGCCATTTGTAACTTCTTTTACAGATTCGAGGTTCCAATTCCTCTGGGCTTCACTACACATTAGCCCTTTTGTATATGCATAAATTCGTGTATGTATACAGCTGCTGGAGTTGGGGAGGCTACCAATTTCTGGGTAATTTTCTTTCTATCTCACATCACATGTATGTATGCTTTTAATGCTTAGCGCCCCAAAACATGTTCGTGTTATTAAAATCGGTCAACAACAACAACAACATACCAGTATATTCTCAACTGGTTGGGGTCTTTCGGGTCTGGGTTTGTACGCACACCTTACCCTTGTAATTACACAAGGAGACTGTTTCCGTAGCGACCCAAGGTGCATCGCGTCGTTTGTATATTTTTTTTCTAGAAACTTCACTATCAGTGAAGAAGTACTAGAATTTAATTGAGTCATTTTGATCTAGTCAACTATGCTAGGAGAATTGTATAATGACTCTTCCACCTCCATTTGGAATGATACCAAAAATCGGTCAACAACAGTTAGAAAAAAAAAAAAAAAACTGAAGGAAGCTTTCTTAGTTTGAAAACAAAATTGAATCTTGTTAATGTCTTCTGTAATAAATGCCGCTAGAGTACCCGTGAGCTGTTCCAAAATTATACTACTTTCACTGGAGATTTAATTTCGAAATTTGAACAGAACTGCTGTTTGCATTGCATAATGGTGAAAGAGGTGGTCTCTTGGTATATGCAATTTTTCTTTCCCTGCAAGCGATGTGGGAGCAATTATTTGTTTATAGCTTTTTTGGAACTTGAGTTGCTTTGGGGAAAACAATATATATTAACTCTACCGACAAGAAAGATCAAAGTGGTGGGGTTTGATCAAATTTGAAAAAATCTGCATATCCTTTTCAAAGACATCATCTTTGTCCAACCCCACAAAAGAAAAAAGAGAAAAAAAAAAAAGAAGAAAAAAAAACTAAAATGGTCTTGTGGACTGTTGAACTTTATCAATTATGTCTAATAAGTAAAGTCTCTTCTATTTTCTAACCGTTGGCATATGTGTACTATTACTCTCTTGTTTTGAATGCATCTTATATTGTATTTCTCCTTTTGTGCACTCAATTGTAGCCGGTGAGGGGTCTCTCTCAGATTCAAGAAATGGTACCTTTGAAAGGAGTTTTGGTTGGTTGATGGGCTACATTTATTTATTTGTAGACATTATATTTGCCATAATCAAGATTCTCAATATAACAAAACCCATATGCCTTAGTTCTTATTTATGTTGCTTTCAAAATGTCTTACTCTTGCATTTCACCTCTAGCTTTTCCGATCAATCGTCGGTTGATGTGTCCTTTTCTTATGTAGCTGAATTCTTTTGGCTTTAATTTCACGAGTGCATTTTTTCCATGCTTGAAGTCTGGAGAATCAACGGGTAAGAATATGGAAACTTCTTTTGTTTTTGATTCCTTTCATGCATTCATTTTCTGATCATGAGCCTTGCAAGTTGGGACATTTATAAAAAATTTATACGGCTTTGGATGTTGTTGGGTTGTTCGTAGAGTTTATAAGCCTATCATTATCACAATCTCTTTCGAACCTGGTAATTCATCTGTCCACGAGAATTGGATTACTGGAAGTGTGTACAAATGCGAGTAAGTCCTGTTTTACGAGTTTCGAGTTATAGCCGAACTACGGAACTGGCCTCTGGAAAAAAATATTAAGCAGACTTCTCTCCATTTGCTGATAAGAAATGTGCCAAGTTCTCCTTTTCAAATTTAAAAGAGTCTTTTTTCGGTTGCGTTTTGTCAACTTTGCTGACTCGATTTTTTTTCTTCATATTTATGCTACCTTGAAAAACAATTTTCTCTAGTTGAAATGTGGTTGACTGAAGTTGGATATATACAATGTTATAATCCCGTGTACATTTTCCAGTTTCAGAAATTTCGGTGGTTCTGAGTAAATGAGGCTTCTGGTAGAAATCGCACTTTTTTGCATCCTTAATGCAGTTTTGATTCAGCAAGTCTTTTGTGGTGAGTAAACTCAACGTTCTTCACGTAACTCTATCTACTTCTATTTCTTCTGTTGTCAAGATTTTGATGAACTTACCAAATTCTTGAAAGATGGTACATTTTTCTGGCAGCATTATTGAATGTTAAGCTTTTATTTCCAGATGGGGTGTCGACAAAATCTGAAACTAACAAGTGGACATGCTCTTGCTCTGTTTCCTATCAAGCGAACTTGAAATTCACTCCAGCAAACTGTTCTTCATCCTGTGATTGCAGCCCTGGTATCAGAATTTCTCTTCATATAGTTTAAAGATAACTAAAACATCGAACTACCAAAAATAAAAAATAAAAATTGTAGTATAAGAAATGTTCTTATCCGGAAAAGAAACAGTTTACAATTCAAGCATGCCCACGCCAAATACCCTCTAGATTTTTTGCAATCATAATCAATTTTGTAATTCATGTTCTTGTTTAGATTGACATCAACTTGTCAAAGTTTTTTAATCTACTTTCCTTGTTCACATGCAGCTGTGGGTGGGTCAAGAGGAGACAAATGGACGTGCTTTTGCTCTAATGGTGGGTTTCCAAGATTGGTGGGTGATGATGAAGGCAGCAGCTGTTTTACAGCATGCGATTGCAATGCAGGTAATTTTCGGCTATAAAAACGTCTTCTGGAATGAACACATGTCAATTTCATATACTGTGGTTTCTTTTAAGTTTTGTGTCTTTTTTCATTTTTTTTTCCTTTATAACCTGTTTAGCCTTTATGTCAGAAAAAATGAAAAATTGGTATGAATTAGGTCATTAGCTTCAAAAAGTGATAGCCTATGTTGCAAAACTGTAAAAAAAACAAATATTAGATTGCAAAATCTCCTTCCTATTATATCAATATCGTAGCAAGCTGCTTGTCAATAACATGATTTACCAGGACTTAATATATTAGAATCTCAATGCTCATTGCTCAATTGCTTATAATTATATGCTTATACACTCTTCTTGGTGTCTGTTACAGGGACTTTATCTGAATTAGAGCCTCCAAAGAAGTGGGTTTCAAGCAAAGTTGTCGTAATTGTTCTTTTACTATGTCTAGTCCTCATGGCTCTTGCATTAGTGGCCTCGGTATTATGGTTTGTCCATTGGAAGGATAAACATCGGATTCAATGGAGTTCATCTTCATCAGATAAGCTGACAAGTTTCAGTAGTGCTACCAACTTGACGAGCCGAGGGTCGTCTTCTTTGCTTGTGTATAAAGAGTATCTAGATTCCTCTGTCAAGCCTTATTTAGGTATATCTCCCCACCGTGAAATTTGTTAATGTATCCTTACTGTAAAATTATCTGGAGATAATAACAAAACCCACCACCCCTAAGTTTTCTGGGTGTGCTAAACAAATAAAAATAAGAGAGCTATAAAGGTTATTCAAATTGCAAAAGTATCCTTAGTGGTTGAATTTAGCCTTACATTTCCCCTCTTATAACAAAAAAAGTATCCTAGCAATAGTTACCCACTTATATTCAAGGCATAATCAAACTCGTTTATAAAGCTTTTCTTTAATTTATTTTTTTCAAAACCTTAAATTTCAGGGGTAGTTGTGGTGAATATCCCAGTAATTTAACTGAGGAAGGTTCTGTAATGATTCTTGATCCCTTACTAATTGTTCTTTTTCTTGTCTAAAGGATGTATTCCTAGGATTTCTTTCCTACTGAGAACCAGACAAGGAGCAATACAAGGAACAATAACACAATTTTCATATTTTGAGCTGGAAAGTGCAACAAACAGATTTTCTGATGACAATTTAGTAGGAGTTGGAGGTAGCAGTCACGTGTATCGTGGTACTCTCAGAGATGGTAGAACTGTTGCTATCAAGCGAATGAAAACTCAAGCGGGCCCGGATGCTGAACACGCTTTCTTGTCCGAGGTACTACTTCAAGCTTGCTAGTATACTTTGATCATGGGATCATTAATAATTTAATATCATTACCATTGATTACTAAAAGCCAAAATCTAAGTAAATAGATAAACCTGCAATTAGTATTGTAAGGAATAACTACAAATCTCACCCTTGAAATTTAACTTCCGAAATCACAATGATATCCTGGAATTTGGTTGAGTGTTACAATTAAGATGTTGTGCTGAGTCTAGTATCTGTATTAGATGTGAATGGATTTTGGCAATGATTTTTCCTGATGAAGAAAGTATATGTAAGACAAAATCTCAGGCCTTCTCTCTCTCTTTTTTTTTTCTTTCTTTCTTATTAATCAAATTATAAATAACCCTTATGTTTTCAGTTAAAAAGCACACCTATTTGAGGACTATTTGAGTAGTTGCAATTCATACAGCGGAAACACATCGGCAGTGGCATTCATATATTTGAAAGATAACTAACCAAATTTGTGAGCAGACTAAACAAAGGGTGTTATGTCTAATCTAGCCTCTGATAACTGTTACAGCAAAAATGGTTTGTAACATCACCTTTATCCGCATTTCAGATCGATCTGATATCCAGAATCCATCACTGTCATGTTGTTCCTTTGTATGGATACTGCTCTGTAAATCAAGGGAAGCATGCTGAGAGGCTGCTGGTGTTTGAGTACATTCCGAACGGTAATCTAAGGAAGTGTTTGGATGGGGATTTGGGAGAATGTTTGGAATGGAGCACTCGAGTTTCGGTAGCTCTGGGGGCTGCACGTGGCTTGGAGTATCTCCATGAAGCTGCAGCCCCTCGAATTTTGCACAGAGATGTCAAGTCCACTAACATTCTTTTGGATGAGAAATGGAGGGCCAAGGTACGTAATAATCTAGACCAAATAACGAAAAATGTGCAGGGCTCGTATATGTCCAATTGAGAAACTGGAAAAGAATTAATATTGTGTGGTTAATAAAAATGCCTTATACCAATATTTGCATTTGTGCAGTTCTAGTTTTCTTACCTTTAAATATTTGCATCTGAGATGTCTAACTTTCAAAGTTCATTCAGAAATTCTGGAAACAATATTTAATTTTTGAAAAGATAATGAAAGTTGGGTATCTATCTAATTAGAAAGAAAAAAGATAGGTATAGGAGGGTTCTTGTAGTTCTGTGATAACAAAGATAGGTTTATTGTTTCTAGATTAGTAGATCACTGAACTTCAAGGAAGTATACATGTAAATTTCTTTTGTTTTTACATCGTTTTGTAAATCTAAATTAAATGTGTGCAGATTACTGACCTCGGCATGGCTAAACACCTACACAGTGACGATTTTACCAGTTGTTCAAGTTCACCGGCTAGAATGCAAGGGACCTTCGGTTACTTTGCGCCTGAATATGCAATTGTTGGTCAAGCTTCTCTAAAGTCCGATGTTTTCAGTTTTGGGGTTGTCCTTCTTGAGCTCATCACAGGCCGAAAGCCCATCTACAAATCATCTAATAAAACTGAAGAGAGCTTGGTGATTTGGGTATGAAATTCGGTGCTATCGTAATGATTATATACCTCAAAATTTTTGTTGCTGATGATGAATGACTACTTCATTTCACAATTTTTTTCCCAAATGTGCACCTCTCATTTGTGAATTCTAAAGCTGAAGCAAATGTGGATGAGGGGTATTTTTCGCAATTTGACAAGATGACTCCGAAACTATTTTATATACCTTATGCACTACGATTATCAAGAAATTCGAGATGCTTCTACTCTACTAAAAATGAATTACAGAGGAGTTGTTTACTCTAGTTCCTTAACAAAGTTAGTAATTGCGTTTTGTGCCTCTTGTAAGCTGATATAATAAAGTTCAATCTTTAAATATGATTGCAGGCAACACCTCGTTTGCATGACAGCAAACGCGTGATTATGGAGTTACCGGACCCACGTCTGAAGGGAGCTTTCCAAGAAGAGGAGATGCAGGTAATGGCCTACTTAGCAAAGGAGTGTCTGTTATTAGATCCCGATTCTCGACCAAGCATGAGTGAGGTTGTCCAGATTCTTTCAACTATTGCACCTCACAAATCTCAAAGGAAAAATTTGTCGCTAGGCGCATTTCAGGTAACCAAAATGCCTCATCAGACATCACTTGGGATCCACCATGCATGATCTTTCTTTGTATTTTAAGAAGTGTACGCTATGTTCTTGTGTTGCTGTTAGCTCAAACCTCTTACTATTTTTTTTTTTAATTCTGAAAATTTAATCTGTCAGTACTCGTCCACGTGCGCCATGGAAAGCCGGAAGCCAGAAACATGCGAAGCAGTGTCATCCAGAGAGGAAATCAAGCAAATTATGTTTGAAAGCACGAAAAACTCAGAGGATGATTACTCCAACGATGTCGAAAAACTCATGCTTTTAACATCGAAAACACGAAGTTGGCGCTTGCGGGATGACGAAGTGGTTGTGGATTTAACAGAACCACGCTTCGAATCCTTCTGTTTACCAAATGTTGATCCCACATGACACGATGACGCTCATTTTGTTTTTTGAAGAAAGTGTTCACATAAGAAAGAAAGATATTCAAATGAGGAAAGCAGTTTTCTTATGATTTGGGATGGCTCAACCCTATAATATATATTTTTTTTTTTTTTGTAAATATTATTTCTTAAGGTTGAGACTGTTTCATATATCTCAATCAGAATGTTGAATCGAGAATTGAAGAACATCAGAGAAGATAATCGAGAGAGAAGATAAGGGTTGCGGATTTATTCAGAAAAGAATGAATGAATTGGTTTTAGAGTTGCACGACTCTTTTAAACTTGCACATTATAACAAGAGTTGTCAAACATGTAATAACACTTTTACATAAAATAAAGGTACAACTAATGAAACTGAATGTACAACTCTATATAGTTATTCTATTATCCCATTCAAGTGGTTCATGTATATTAGGCATGCTTAACTTGGAGAGTAAGGTCTTGAAGAGAGGGCTTGGTAGTGATTTTGTTAGGAAATCAGCTAACTGTTCTCTTGTGGGAATATGTTGAAAGGTTGTTAATCAGTCCTTAGCTATCGTTTTTCTTATTAAGTGGCAACACAACTCAATGTTCTTTGTTCTCTCGTGGAAGACTGGATTGGCGGTCATGGCTAGTGTTGATTTGTTGTTTGTAAACAGAGAGACGAGTGTAGTGAGTGGGAAATGTAATTCATCGCAAAGAGATAATAGCCATTGTATTTCACATGTTGTATCTTATAGTTGGTTTGTTCTTTGATTTCCAAGAGATAAGTGAATCACCAAGGAAAATTAAGTAACCAGTTACACATTTTTTTAGTACTAGGAAGATGCATGTGCTACGCACGTGATATTTTTTTTTTCAAATAATTTTTAGTATTAGGTTTATATTTAATAGTATAATATAATTTCCTTTCAATTAGTTTAGCAAAAAATGGTGTATTTTATTGAATAATGAAATATAGTATTTAATACTATTAACTAAACTCTATGATAAATTAAATTAAATAAAAAATATTGGATTGAAAACTCAAAATAAAAATATTTTTTTTAGTGAAAATGTAAATGCTAAAGAAATTCATATCGTCTCTGATTTTATTATTTAATGGTATCTTCATTATGCTTAAAATAATGATCACTATTATTGTCATCATAATATAGTTTTTTAATGTCATCTTTTTTGGATCATACTCTTTGAAAAATAACTCAAATTTGCTATAACTATATTTATAACGATTATTTTTTTATTTAATGTCGATTGGAAGCTAACAAACTATGTCTGAATAATTCGTTCTCAATTATTTTAATTACATTGATTGCAAGTTTAATTATATTTGCAAGTATAACATTTCATAATACTTAGATATATGTAATTATTCCCTAGTCATAATGACATAAGAGATACATAAATAATTAAAAATGTCTTCAAAATCGTAATTATTTCAAAAGGAAAATTCACTTGAAAAAGTTTAGGAATAATAAAATCTTTAACGATTAAATATACCCATCTATCTATACATCTTTTCTGACATAAATTATCGTTGCATCTCCTAACATTGTCATACATCCATTATATTCATTTCCAGATTTTCAAGATTATCCTAAAAATGAAAATTTACTAATTCCAATTTAAATGAATTGTAAAATGATGATTCTTTCATATTTTATTTTTATCTTAACATTATTTTTATATCTTCGTCAACATTGTATATAGTTTATTTTCCCTACTTTTGCTTAAAATAATGATCATTAATATTGTCATCAAATATAGCTTTCTAATGTCATCCTTTTGTATCATACTATTTGAAAAATAACTCGAATTTATTATAACTATAATTTGTAATGATCATTTTTTATTGTCGATTGGAAGCTAAAACATTATGTTTGAATAATTCGTTCTCAATTATTTTGATTATAGTGGTTGCAAGTTTAGTTATATTTGCAAGTATAATATTTCATAATACCTAGATAAGTGACATAAGAGACACATAAATATTTAAAAATATAACTAAAGTCGTAATTATTTCAAAAAAAAAAAATTACATGAAAAAGCTTAGGAGTAATAACATCTATATTGATTAAAGATGCTCATTTATCTATATATCTTGTCCAACATAAATTATTGACGCATCTCCTAAAATTGTCATACATGCATTATCTTCGTTCACGGATTTTCAAGACTATCATAAATGTGAAAATTTAATAAGTCTAGATTTAATGAATTATAAAATGATGATTCTTTCATATTTTTTTTCTCTTAACATTATTTTTATATCTTCGCCATTATTTTATATAGTTTATTTTTCCTACTTTTGAGAAGTGATTTGAAACATTTAATTTATGAATGATTTTATAAATAAGATATGCTAAAGACAATAAATTTAAAGTAAATTTACTGTTTATTTTTATTTAATTAATTTTAATTGTAACTATTTTCTAATAAGTACATTTAAGATTTAAAATAGAATTTTAGTTGATTTATTTTATTTATGTAATTAATCTATTTTTTTTATATTACAATTTAGTAAATGCTATTTTAATTTATGTAACACATTATTATATAAGAACATTTATACTATACGTATTATTAACAGGTAAACTTAAATCATATTATGGATTTTGTTTTAGTGAATAATTTAACCGATTATTTTTGTTAAGATCATATCTTTTTTACTTAACAAATAACTTTTTTTCCATAGAAAGTTGACATTTTGTATGTTGAATAAATATTTTTTATTCAATCATTCTTATTGTTTCTCTTTAATTTTTTTTTAATACTATAACAAAAAATTTGTATGCTAAACAATATGATATTTGGAAATTAAAGATGATACTTTTTGTGGTGCATTAATATTTTGCACTTATGAAATATCATATATTTTATATTTAAGAAATCTTAAAATAATTTTTCTCTTTTTTTTAAAAAAACTACCTTTAAAATAACAAAATCGAAACCTAATGTCATATGTACATTAATTTGAAATAATATAATTATGACTAAATTATTATTTAAAATATATGGATTTGCGTAAGTAATATTTTGTATGTGTAAGAACTTAAAGACATAATTAAGCATAAAAAATAGAAGATATAAATAGAAGTTGTAACTTCCTAACATTAATAAGAAAATTACATTAGTGACCTTAAAACTTATCTTTTTACGAGGGTATTCTTGGCAATTCAAAAGTTTCAAGAAACAACTATTCCTTTTAAGAGGGTTATAGATCAACACATGAAGCCCAATCAATATCAGAATATGTTGTAATTTGTAATTTAGAAGATTTGGGAAAGAGTAGACCTTGTCCAATTGTGCCTTTAACATACCTTAGTATTCTTTGTGCTGACTGAAAATGCTGTTGGAGTGGAATTAGACATAAATTGTCTCAAAGACATAATAGAGTAAGCAATATTAGTCCTGCTAATAGCCAAATATAATAGTCTACCTACAAACCTTCTATATTCAGAGGGATTGTCAAGAGAAGGGGTAATATCATTTTTGCTAAGTTTCAGAGATGCATCCATAGGAGTTATGGTTGGTTTGCTAGCTAGTAAACTAGTATCATTTAGTATATCCAAAGCATACTTTATTTGACACATATGTATGCCTTGATTAGATTGTACAAATTCAAAACCTAGGATGTATTTAAGTTTTCTAAATCCTTTGTTGTGAAAAATTGTCTAAATGCGTCTTAGTGGCATTTTTATTGCACATGTTATTCCAGCTAGTATAATATCAACATAAACAAGTAGCATTGTAAAATATTCAAAATCAGACATGAAAAATAATGAGCAATCAACAATAGATTGACTAACACTATAAGTAATCAAACATGATGTCAGTTTTTAGAACCATTGTCTTGAAGCTTGCTTCAACCCATAGACTCTTGGTTAACTTACACACTCTTGTTTCAGTCTTTCAGATTCAGAATAGTAACCAGGTGGGATTGACATATAGACTTTTTCATTTAAATCTCCACACAAAAAGTCATTATTGACATCTAATTGATGAATGTGCCAGTTTTTAAGTGATGCCAATGAAAAAAGAAATCTACAGTTGTAATTTTAGCTTCATGAGATGATGTGTATAAAAAATTTGTGTCTTCTTCTTGTGTATAGCCTTTTGCTACTAATCTGCCTTGCATCTTTCAGTAGTGCCATCAGATTTGTATTTTGTCTTAAAAACTCACTTACAACCTATGTAATGTTTATCTTTAGGTAAGTCTGTAAGAACCTAGGTATTTGTTTGTTCGACGACTTTTAATTCATTGTTCATTGCCTCTTGCCATAAGGATCTTTAGCTGCATGTTTATAAGTTTTAGGTTCAGTTATATAAGATATCATTGCAGTGAAACAACTATGAGCAACAAATAGTTTGTTTGTGGATAAAAAATCAGAGATAAGATAATTGGTTGTTCCAGGAATGTTTAAAAGAGTATTTGTATAACATGGGGCACTATGAGCGTTTAGAGAGTGTTTGTAAATATCTAGGTAAATAGGGATTTTAGTATTATGTTTATCTTCTTCGAAAAAGAAATGTGTTTGATGATGGGTTGATTTGTTGTGTAGTGTTGTGAGAATGTTGGATAGGTATAGGTGAAGAGGTGAGTGATGGAGAATGTTCTAGTGTAGATACGAGGTTATTTAATGATTGTGGTTGAGGTACAATATGATTATCAAAGACAAAATGAGAATCAGGTTGTGGAAACAAAGGAGTGGAAAAATCAGGTTGTGTAGTAAAAGCAAAGGGAAATACTCTTTCATAAAAAAATGACATTCCTGGTAATTAATATTTTCTTGGTATCGAGGATGTAAGTATGTATCCTTTACAACCTAAGGGATTGCCAAGGAATATACATTTAGAAGTCCTAGGATCAAATTTGTTTCTATTTGCAACTAAAGTTGAAGAATATAACAAACACATATAACTTTCACGATCAAAATTGTTTTTATAAATCGTTTCAAAAGGGGACTTTTGGTTAAGAGCTGGTGTAGGGATTCTATTTATGTGAAT